TTCCAGTTATTTTGATATATCACAGTGAAAGATTTATCGTCCTCTTTTTTTTTTTTTTTAAAAAAAAAAAAAAAAAAAAAAAAAAAAAAAAAAAAAAAGGTGTACCACCACACCCAGCAACAAATACGTTTTTTAAAAGCAGCAATGTTTTTTTTGGGGGGGTGGTATAAAGGGCTTAGCTCCTAGGGGTAGTGATGTGTTCTGGCAGAATTTTGCAAGAAGGCAAGATCACAAGGGCTGCAATGGGTATTTCAGGGTAGGAAAAGCCCTGAGTGAGAAGATGCTAGAGTTTTATCTAGTTACAAGGCAGGGACACAGTAAACATGTGCCCCTTACGGGACTGCCCCATACCTGTCATGATCAAGACTAGATCTAGGACTGCCCCATTTCTATGTTATGCTCAGGGCTGGCTCCCAAACTGTGTATTACCACTGAATCCAGTTAGGTTACTTTTAATATCTAATATAACATCAACACATTGCTTCAGTTCACATAGTTTCACTATAACACTTCACAGCAAATTTGTTTGGTTTTTTTTGTTGTTATTGTTGCTGTTTTGTTTTTTGGAACTACCTGAAAAAAAAATTTTGTTTAAAACCACAGTTCAGTGAATTCAGGGATGCAGAGCCCATGGATGCATAAAACCTAACACAAAGATGATGACTCATCCCAGGATCCTTGGAGGACAGGGAAATTACAGGCCATGCCTTCATTCTGGGGGTGCTGAAAGTCACCAGCCAGGGAGGAGCTTGAAGTGGGTGCTGAGGGGATACATGAAAACAAGCAGCACAGTACAGCAGCACAGCACAGAGGGCTGCTTCCTTTGACAGTATGATCCAGGCATGGTAGCACACACCTTTAATCCCAGCACTTGGGAGGCAGAGAAGAGAAGATCTCTGTGAGTTCGAAGGCAGTGACCATGGTCTTCGTAGTGACCATGGTGGATACTTGCCATCGTACATTTGTGCAAACCCACAGCAAAAGTGAGATTCATGACTGGAGAGATGGCTCAGTGGTTAAGAGCACTGGCTGCTCTGGTACAGGACCAGGGTTTGATTTGCAGCACCCACAAAGCGGCTAACAACCATCTATAATTCCAGTTCCAGGGGGATCCGATGCCCTCTTCTGACCTACTCGGGCATCCCACGACATAGGTGCACTTACACACATGTAGGTAATATACTCATACACATAAAAAATAAAAACAATCAATAAAATATTTTTAAAAAGAAAAGGGTGAGACTCAACACAAACCCTGGACCTTGGGTGTTAATGACACATTCATGTAGGCTGGTGGATTGTGCAATATACCAGCAGGTGGGCATGATGATAATGGGAGGTCATGTATGTGCCTTGGGAGGTGGGCGTGATGATAATGGGAGGTCATGTATGTGCCTTGGGAGGTGGGCGTGATGATAATGGGAGGTCATGTATGTGCCTTGGGAGAGCAGGGTACATGGGATCTCTACACCTTCTGGTCATTTTACTGTGAGGTCTAAAACTGCTCTAGGAAATAAAAACTATTATGAAACAGGAAAAGGGGGCCAAAGAGATGGCTCAGTGGTTAAGCACACTGGCTGCTCTTGCAGAGGACTTGGGTTCAGTTCCCAGTACCCACTGGCAGCTAGTAACCATCCATAACTCCAGTTTCAGGTGATTCGATACCCTTTTCTGACCTCCATGGGCATTGCATGACACAGGTACACTTACATACATGCAGGCATAACATTCATACACATAAAATATTTTTTAAAAAAGAAACAGGACAAACTCAGACAGAGGGTATGATGGAGAAAAGGAGTCAGGGATGACTCACAGGGCGGGTGACTGGAAGACGATGGGTGTCTCAGGCAGGATGAGGAAGTTAGAAAAGGGGACCTCCTTCTCAGAAAAACCAGTTCAATTAGAACAAGGCAGGGCAGGACAGGACCCCCCACATGCTTGGAGCTAAGATTAGGAAGGGGAGACAGGTGTAAGGATTACAGAAAAAAAACCAACATTGAATGCCCTACTTTTAAACTGAGAACTCTTTGGGAAAAAAAAAAAAGAACATGCAATTCACCTATAATACCAGCTCTTGGGAAGCTGAGGCAGGAGGATTTTCTCATGTTCAAGGCCAGTTGGATGACCTGGTGAGTTCCAGGACAGGCTGAGCTACTAACTGAGACCCTGACTTAAAAACAAACAGAAACAACATTAAAAAAAAAAGGAAAGGAAAAGTGTTGTAACACATGGGAAATAACCACCTTTCTGCTAAAGTGGCCACCTCTGCCGTGAACTGGTGCTGGGCAGGACTTTCAGTTACTCACGGGACTGGAATGACCAGAAATTACATGTAATCTTCTCGCCAGTATCAACCTACTAACAGAACACTGATCCAAATGTGAAGAACTGGCAGAAGGAAGGTCAAAGCACAATCCCAAACTCAGCCCAGGGGCACCTCTACCCCATTCACTGAACTCCAGGCTGTACATTCACACCCTGCCTTTGACCAAGGGAAACTGTTTAATCTCTCTGTTCCTCAGTGTCTGCACTTTAAAAGGGGGGTCAAGGGCCAGATGTGGGGGTGCCTGCCTTTAATCCCAGAATTTGGGAGGCAGAGGCAGATGGATCTCTGGGAGATCAAGACTAGCCTGGTCTACATAGTGAGTTCCAGACCAACTAGAGCCATAGGAAGACCCTGTCTAAAATAAATTAATTAATTTAAAAAAAAAAAAAAGGGTCAACATGGGCTGGAGAGATGACTCAGTGGTTAAGAACACTTGCTGTTCTTCCAGAGGACTCAGGTTCAATTTCCAGCACCCACATGGCAGCTAACAATTGCCTATAACTCCAGTTCCAGGGGATCTCACAGCCTCTTCTGGCCTCTGCAGGCTTTGCAAGACACGGGTGCACTTACATACATGCAAGCAAAACACTCATACACATAAAAAAAATAAAAATAGCAAATAGATTTTTAAAAAAGGGGGGAGGGTCAACTGTGCATCATGGATCACTGTAAAGATCAGTGAGCAAATGTGGAGGCTGGTGCCTGGCACACGCTGTGTCAGCTCTCATCACTGTTCCTGTCTTAGACTTTTCCACACCCATGATGTGCTTCTCAAAAGCACAAGCACTTGAACCTTTAAAATGCAATGTCTCTTCAAATGTTTTCTGACAGAACGTTTTAACTCTATATGCTCTGAAACTTGACCTGCATGTATGAAGAGCACATCAACACTAACTCTTGGATATACAAGGCCTGGCCTAGACGGAGAAGCCTAAGATGTGGGGAAAGTCCTAGAAGGTGAAATGCCAAAGCCATTATTCTTAATCATAATTTCCAAAAGTACTGACTATAATCAAAGGGCATCTGACATTTGCTTATTCAGACGTAGCTCAGCCAAGTTCTCAGACCAGAGGTCAGAGTTTTCCACCATTGCTCAACCATCACGGAAATGAACTGATCATAAAATCAGAGCTGTCCAGCACCTTGCTGCCAATCAAAACACTGATTCTCCAGCCCAGGAACATGGCTGCTGGCTGGATCAGAAGGAGCTTGGCTTCTCAGAGTGTGATCACTGCTAGGCAAGCAGATGAAAAGACTCCAAGTTAGTTATTCTCTCTGGGATTCCAGAGTCTAGCCTCGCAACCCAAGCAGTCCTCCAAGTTTCACAAGCAGCACAAACAGCTGCTCCCCCACTCCCAATGCTCTTCTATCTGCTCTGTCAGTGAGAAGTCAGAAGAGAATCACAGGCCACAGAGAACTCCTGACATGTCTCTATAACTGCAAGAAGCGTTGGTTCCCTACGTACAAAGCCCTCTGCTGTCCCCTACCTTAACCAAGTGGGTTTAAACTCACAGAAAAGGAACCAGGGGATGGCGAGATGGCTCAGTGGGTAAAAGTACTTGGCACCATGCCTGATGACCTGAGCTTGATTCCCCAGAACCCATAAGGTGGAAGGAGGGAACTGACAGCTGCAAACTGTCCTCTGACCTCCACATAGATGTCATGGCATATACAATACACACCCTTACATACACACCCAATAAATAAATAAATGCATGTAAGAAAACATTTTTAAGAAAGCTGGGCGTGGTGGTGCATGCCTTTAATCCCAGCACTTGGGAGGTAGAGGCAGGTGGATATCTGTGAGTTCAAGGCTAGCCTGGCCTACATACTTCCAAATCAGCTGGAGAGATTTTATCTCAAAAGACCAAAAAAAAAAAAAAGGAAGGAAGGAAGGAAGGAAGGAAGGAAGGAAGGAAGGAAGGAAGGAAGGAAGGACGGAAGGAAGGAAGGAACTGGGCATGCTGGGCATGAGAGAGGAATGAACTGGGTAGTGTCCATGGATGCAGAGAGAAAAAGACTTTGGACCCCAAGTGAAAGCAAGGAAGGAGGGCGGGAGAGACCCAGGAGCCCCACAGGCAATTACTCCATCAATCTAGTAAAGTCTATTGATTAGCAAACCTTTGGATGGAGTTGGGTAGATTTTTCCACCAACAAGGAAGGGGCTGGGTTTGTGTCAGGAGAGGTGAAAGAGAAGTCAGGGGCCAGGGCTGGAGTGTATCTGAGTCCTAGGCTTGGCTAGCACCATTGAGCCCTTGTGTTCCATCCCCAGCTCTGCAAGGCCTTGGATCTCCCTGAGCCATGGACTCTCATCAAAGTTAATTAGCTCTCTGATGAACAGGAGATCAGCTGACACTTAGGTTGAGAGACTTTATCTTTCTTTCCCCCAAAAGAAATTAAACCTAGTCTTGTTCTATCTAACATCTAAATGCCACAGGAATGCACTGAAAAACAAAGGAAGGTATATCTACCCTCATTTTTTCATTCACCTCACAAGTGAATATCCAAGATCTTCCAGGAAGAGGTAGGTGATAAACAGAGCCTGAAGTGGGATAATGTGAAATGCCCCTCTTGATACCCCTCTGCTACCCTGAGACAGAGCCTCTTTATGTAGTCCAGGCTGGCCTTGTTCATGGTCCTCCTGCCTCAACCTCCTGAGCACTCAGATTACCGTCACAGACAGTTCTTCATTGCCTTTTTCTTTTCTTCTCTCTTTCTGTTTCTTTAATGCAGAGTTGTAGCTTATCTAGAGATTTTAATAGACAGACAGACAGACAGACAGACAGATGATAGATTTTAAACACTAGTGTTAAGAAAAAGAAGGGGCCGGTTGTGGTGGTGCACACCAGTAGGATATGCTGAAGAAGCAGAGGCAGAAGGATCTGGAGTTCGAGGCCAGTTTGGGCTACAGATAGCTGGGTGTGGTGGCACACGCATTTAGTCCCAGCACTTAGAAGGCAGAGGCAGGTAGATCTTTGTGAGTTCGAAGCCAGCCTGGTGTACATAGCAAGTTCCAGGCAAGCTGGGGCTACAGGGAGACCCCTTCTAAAAAAAAAAAAAAAAAAAAAAAAAAAAAAAAAAGAGAAAGAAAGAAAAAGAAGGGTGTTTGGGAAGGAAGTAAGACACACCTAGGACATGGTGTGGGCTTCTCAAAGGACAGTCACCTACCCTCTTTTTCTCCCATTTCCAAGACTATCAGAAATAAACTCAACCTAGGGATGACAAAACTGGACTGAGGCCTCCACGTTCAGCTCATATAGATGTGTAGCAAAAGTGGACACGGAAACCAAGGCACAGCAAAAACCACAGGTACACCCTGTGAAAAGAAGCCAACCTGGGAAAAAGGAAGGATATTTGAACCTAACACAAGGTGGTTATGTGGGGCTCCGCCAGGCTGAGCTGTACTGTGCTTAAGAAAGACACAGCACAAGAATTTGAAAGAAAAGGCCAGGCTGAGGCAGGGAGTACCAGGCCAGCCTAGGCTACATGCAAGACCCTGTCTCAAAAGACCAAAAACAAAAATAAGACATGGAGCTTAGTTAGTAGAGTGCTTGCCAGCATGCATGAAGCCCTGGTTTAAGCCCCTGCACCTCATGGGTATAGTGGAACACACCTGTAATCCCACTCAGGAGGTGAAGGCAAAATGATCAGTTTAAGATCATACTTGGCCATGGCAAGTTCAATTCCAATGTGGGATACAGGATGCCCTGTCATTAAAAAAACAAAACAAAAACAAAACTATAAAATAACAATGAAAGAGAGAGGTGGAGCTGGCTGCAGGGATGATTTAGCACACTCTGCTGACGTGGGGTTCCTCTTGGGGCTGCAGAGGTGGCTCCCCTGCTACAGCTGATGTCAGGCTGGGTGGGATCCGGTTCATGCCTGCAAAGGAGGTGGCTCTCCATGCGGGCAAGCAGCTCACACTCCATGACAGCTAAGTTCCAAGGCTTGGGTTATGCCTCCAGCCTCTTCCCTTGATACCAAGGGAATCTGGCCAACTGCTGCAGGGGCAAAGTGAAATCAAGGAAGCACAAAGAGGCAGAGAAGAAACAAGGATAGGAGGGTTAGAAGAAGAGAGGCTGGGAATGATCTTGCACTGCCCATATCACAAAAAGAAATTGAAACAGTAATACAAAACCTCCCGACTAAAAAAAGC